GATTAATAATTTAGATTTCGGTTTTTGAATAATAGCTCCTCCAGGAACCCGGCTTTGTATTTTTATTCGCTGTTTCTTTGTTGAATTTGATTGCATCGTCTTTTTGAAGTGCTTTTCCACAACCACCGGTTTATTATTCAGGTAAGTTATGATTGTGGTGTTTTATTTATCAAATAGTTAACTTTAAGTTAACTCAAATGTTTAAATATTTTTGTCCTTTATTACTCACTGCCTAAGCAAAGTTTTTTATAGATTTTACGTGAAATTACGATGCAGTAAATTATTTGTCGTTTCAGTTTTTCTATAATGACGTCCAGGCAAGTATTTAGCGAAAGCGAGAAGACTTGCCTACAAGAATTAATTTTAAAATATAATCTGCACAAAACTGCGACCATGACAGCTAGTCAAAACACAAAAAAACTTTTGTGGGTACATTTAACAGAAGAATTCAATTCAATTGAATCAAATGCAAAGGTAGATATTTATTTATATTACTTGTATCTGATTTTTACTTGTCTATATATACCATGCTATTCTTATTTATCATTTGTTTTAGCGAAGTGAGGCCCAGCTCAAGAAGTGCTGGGATAATTTAAAAACACGGAGGAAGCACTTTTTGGCTAATGAAAAGCGTCAGAGAATGAAGACTGGTGGCGGACAGTGTATTCCAAATGAGCCACAGCCTGGTAGCAGCAATGAGACCCTTATTTTTGCTGAGGTTCTACTGGATCAGACTGATGTGGAACTCAGGGGTGTCATTGACAGTGATACCATTTACAGTTCTGAAGGTAAGTGAATCTTAAAAATTTGAGATAAGCGCTTCAATCTCACATGCTCTCACAAAAAACAGTAAGAACGTGGTGGCATGGAGGGTCTTTTGATTATTGTTATATATCTATATGAGTTGAACTACATGTATTACTGTGCTAAAAACTAGATAAATAACATGCGCGACAATACCTGATAAGATTTTCACTCAAGAAACCATTTTAATAATCATAATGAATATACCACATTCTGATTAAGAACAATATTACTTTAAAATTCTTTCTTTCCTCTACTCCAACTATCACTTTTATTCTACAAATCATTGATTGAGCTAGAGCACAAGTTCATTACTTAATAATAAACGCAAGTAATGTGTAGAACTATTGATCTTGTATTTTTTCAGGAAATGTTGCAGGCACCACGCCTATGCATTACAGTCTATCATGTCGTGACACCCCACAACGTCGTGATACTCCACCACGTCGTGACACTCCACCACGTCGTGACACTCCACCAAGTCGTGACACTCCACCAAGTCGTGACACTCCACCACGTCGTGACACTCCACCTAGTCGTGACACTCCACCAAGTCGTGACACTCCACCACGTCGTGACACTCCACCACGTCGTGACACTCCACCGCGTCGTTCTGGGTCCCGGCAGACTGACTGTGGTGCAGCCTACTTAGGAGGTAAGTTAAAAATGTAAAAAAAAATTCAATTCGAAAATGTCAGAACAACCTTGAGAGTGTATAAAAACAAAAATACAAATTTTGTTGTTGGCCTACATTTGATGCAGATATCACATACCCGATCCTGTGGACTGAATGGTAAACAGTCGACGTTGCCTTAAGCACGTCATTACGAATCCTCCCGACCCATTAACGGTTCTTTTAGGCACCACAAGCACCGGTCATTGTCCTTGCTGAACCCGTCGCTTGCGACGAAGGTCTCGACGATCGAATTAACCCATAGACAGCCCACTGAGTTTCTCGCTGGATCTTCTCAGTGAGTCGCATTTCCGATCCGGTTGTAGATTCTGCGAAGATCTTGCTAGGGCCAGTGTTAGCAACACACCCGGCTTGAGCACCATGAGCTCACCTACACTTCAAGGAGAAGCCTCTCAAGGCTATCAACATAGGTAGGAAGAAAAAAAAAGATATCAGTGAACAAACATAAAAAAAAATACATAAAAGTTGTGTCACAAATAATGCAATTTGTAAATCTAATCTAAATATATCAATATCTTTTTATAACTTCACTTTAATTGTATTGAATCAGATGAATTGACTATCACATTTTACTCAGTCTAATTAATAATTCGACTATAGTAGCTCAATCCAATTGTGGGATTTGAAACCACCC